GTCATTGTTGTTTGGCGGGTCCGGACTGGGGATTCGAACCCGCCACCTTAGGTGTACGTGGCTGGCGCCTTAGCCGGTTGAGCTATAGGCGTCGAGCCCAGTTTGGAGTTTTCACACATAATACGAAATACTTCCATCAAACTGGTTAACATAGCCTTCATGTCATTTTCTTAGTTATTGTTTTAAAACGCTCACATTCTACTCTTAGAAAGATTCACTTATACCCTTGTAAGATAAACCTCAGAAGTGATCCCTCCAATCTCCCTCCCTCTACCCAATTCCCCCTCCCCTCTCCCTCTTCCTCCCCGTATTCTTAGGCTGTTATAAGGTTATAGCTTTCATATAAAAGGTATAAATTAGTTTCGTAATAGGGGTGTGTACATTGGGTACTTTCTCCTCCATTCTTGTGATACTTTCTAAGAAGAACATTCTCCAGCTCCATCCATGTGAACATGAAGGACATAAAGTCTCCATCTTTCTTTATGGCTGCATAGTATTCCATGGTGCACATATACCACAGTTTGTTGATCCATTCGTGGATTGATGGGCACTTGGGCTTCTTCCATGACCTGGCAATTATGAATTGGGCTGCAATAAACATTCTGATATAAATATCTTTGTTGTAATGAGATTTTTGGTCATCTGGGAATATACCTAATAAAGTAATTGCAGGGTGAAATGGCAGGTCTATTTTTAGTTCCCTAAGTGTTCTCCAGATGTCTTTCCAAAAGGAACATATTAGTTTAGATTCCCACCAGCAGTGTAGGAGTGTTCCCTTTTCTCCACATCCAGGCCAGCATCTCTGGTTTTGGGATTTTGTGATATGGGCTAATCTCAGTGGAGTCAGATGATATCTCAAAGTAGTTTTGATTTGCATTTCTCTGATGATTAAGGATGGTGAGCATTTTTTCATGTATCTGTAGGCCGTGCGTCGATCTTCTTTAGAGAAATTTCTCTTCAAATCCCTTGCCCACCCTGAGATGGGATCACTCATTTTCTTCTTGCTAATATGTTTAAGTTCTCTATGGATTCTGGTTATTAAACCTTCGTCGGAGACATAAGCTGTGAAAATCTTCTCCCATTCTGATGGCTGTCTGCTTGCCTTACTACGTTCTTCGCTGTGCAGAAGCTCTTTAGTTTGGTCGGGTCCCAATAGTGTATTTTTGATGTTGCGTCAATTGCCCGGGGTGTCCTCCTCATAAAATGTTCACCCAAGCCGATTTCTTCAAGTGTTTTCCCTACACTTCTTCTAGTATTTTTATGGTTTCATGTCCTAAGTTTAAATCTTTAATCCAGTGAGAGTCTAACTTAGTTAATGGTGAAAAGTGTGGGTCCAGTTTCAGTCTTCTACAGGTTGTCAGCCAGTTCACCCAGCACCATTTGTTAAATAGGGAATCTTTTCCCCACTCAATGTTTTTAATTGGCTTGTCAAAAATCAGGTACCGGTAAGTAG